AACCACTGTTTTAAAACAAACATAAGAAAATTTCTATTTGAATTTTATAAATTCAGAATACACATATCTAATCCTTCTTCTGTTAATAGGAGTAAAATCTAGGCATACAAAGAGTCTAATCTGGCATTAAAGATCAGAGAGAAAAATGTAAAGAAACAGAATACAGTTCATCTTTCAGCAGATGGGGGGTAAGAAAACACATTAAACTGCATATGCAGCTGGACAAATTTAGAGAAACTTTTCAGTGTCCTATTTTTGCCGAACTGTTTTCTAAGGTCAGGTTTCTGCTTAGGAATATTGAAGTATTACAATCCTCAGATCTCTGGCATTTATAAGCTATTTTTCTCTGGTTGAGATCCTTAGATAATAGCACCTACTTAAAACTTTTTAGACATATCTGTGTTTTTCTCTCGACATCTCTAGTTGAGGATCCTTCACAGCATCTCATTATCAGTCTTGTTACACTCATCTCATTATCGTCTCTGTGCTTCCATGACCTACACAGCCTGTCTCTTGATAAATGGCACAATCATGCCTATACTCCCAATCCACAAACTTGGTCCCCTGGTTAGTTTCTTTCCTTTGTCATCTGTACCTTACATGGTCCCATTGATATTACTTCTATGGCATTACATATCACATACATAAACACACACACACACACACACACACACATTCACAGGCATGCATGCACACACTCACACATTGCTCTAACTCCATTGCTGTTATTCCAATTGTTTCAGGTAATAAGACCTTCAATTCTTGCAGGAACTCTTCAGAAGACCCCAGGGATAGGTCTCAGTTCTTAAACATCACGCAGTTGTTCTGTGAGCTGCCCTGCAACCTCATCTGAGGTGCAACTCACTTCTTGGGGATCCCCAAATCCCACCGTTTTATTCACTCAAATTTCCTCTTTCGAACACTCTGCATGACTACACTACCCTATGTTCTGAAGTTCTATCATCCATTCAGGACTCCATTCACAGGTACCTAATTCCCTACTATGCCCAAGGTTCCCTTGCCTGGCCATGGTTTTGGGTACTGCTATTACTTGAGATCAGTTTGGTTACAATTTTCATTCCATGTTTTTCATGTCTTTTCTCTAAAGTTTATTTGTATTATTTTTATCATTTTATTGGCTACTGTTACAACTTTATTATGTACATTTAACAACAAAGTACAAAATTATTCAATATCTTAATCCTTTATCTAAACATCATAAGAAACCAAAACACATTTAAATTTAACTCCTTTTAAATTCTAGTGCCCAAACCTGACCCATATATTATCATTGTCATAAAAGTAAATAAAATAAATAGTTGGAAATGAAGTTTTAAGGAAAAAAACATATAGGTAACCCGATTTTGTTTTGTTGCTGCTTGTAACAAGTTAAATACTTTTAGACTATTGTTTCACTTAAGCATCAGACTATCTTTTGTGGTGCATGGATATCAGAGGGGAAGTTTAGGAAGAATTACAAAGAGTCCTAAAGTAGAAGCAAGTTTAGTCTAAAACAAAGAGGACAAAAAAATCAGACCAAAGAGACACTAATGATTTTTGAAACATGAAGAAGTTACCAGAAAGGACATTCACAGGCATTATGCCAGTGATGAACCCAAACCAGAAAATGCTGTCACTATCAAAGAAGCAAAGATTTGTATTTAGGAAGAGGAATCACTCAACCTTTTGGGTGATAAAACTGTGCAAGGCTACACAACCTTCAGGGAGGGCGTGGGAACTGCTTCTGAAAACTGAGTATTCAGTTGTCTGCAGGAAGGATACGCTATGTCCTCTCCGTTGAGCATTTCCAGTCCTGTGAGATAGTGATGTTATCTTATACTCATCGTATATTTACATGATCTCCTGAAGAGCACAGCATGTTCTGTGCTTACTTAACATTCTCAAATTCTCCTTAAGAGCAAAGTATCACAGCCCATTTAAACTTCCCAGCAGAATGGCTGACATCTTTGACCATGTTTGTGTCTGACAGCCGAACGCTCCTCAAATTCTCTGCAACTTCGAATAAACAGCATTAAAAAAAATACACATCTCTCCAATAAGGACCGAGGCAATGCCAAGTCAAAATAAGCAGATTACCCCATGGCTTCTGCATATCATGCATCTATTAATACATCTTAGGATCATGTTCGCACTTTTAATAATAGCACCAGGCTGTTGACTCACATGCAGGCATGTTCCTACTTCCTTCTTACCTACATAATTATTCCTTTTCTTGTGTTAGCTTGGCTTGTTTTTATCTCTATTCCTGCCCTGTTTAGTTTGGTCACTTTTTTAGTAATTGCAAGGGTCCATTGAACTTTTGCCCCGACTTCCATGCATCAATAACATCACCAAAATGAACATTTTCTTATCTAACTTCCAAACAGTCAAAGGATACATAAGAGCTGGAGAATCATGTAATTATTTACAATTACATGGGAAGCTCTCTATTAGATTTGGGGAATAAACAAGCCTGGTTTACTCCTAATACATTACACTCTTTCAGAGATGTGGATAAGAATGTAGAAAACTACGGTCAGACAGCAGATACAAAAGGAGAGTTATATTTTGAGCATAGAATCATGGATCTAGATATTATAACTACATGCAACAATTTCACTTGACCTCCAAAGAGACACATACAGAAGAGAGAAAAGATAAAAGAGTCAGAATTTATACAAATATAAAAATCAAACCTTTAATCCTTATAATAATCATGCAAGGTTGCTATAGATGAGAAAACTCATTTACTGGGAAAAGCAAACTGGCCCAAGGTTGGGTATCTCTAGTTACTAAGTTACAGAATTAGATTTCAGCCCATATCTATATGACTCCAAAGTCCATACATCAGACTTTGATCTGACAGAAGTCCTGTGCTTCTGATTTGCTGACTGAAACGCCACATGAAAAGAAATCTAAATTGTCAGAAGGGGAGATAAGTCTATTTCCTCCTTGTGTGGCACTGTGTCAAGGTGCAGAGACAAACTGACTCCAAGCTCATTCTGGACTATTCTGGTAACATCTGACACTCTGAACTCAGGAGGCTATTCTGAAACATCCAGGTTTCAAATATGTAACAATTTATGTATCATTTCTGGCTTCAGAATGTATCCACTGGTATTCAAATTGAGAGAAATTTGTGTTTTAAAAAAAAAACTATAGTTAATATTGCAAAGCACTCAACACTTTAAGAAATAACTTGAGTGTCTATTTAGATAGTTAATTGATAATGTTTTCTGACAAAAGAAGGTAACTAATATTTAATATGTATTCAGACAGGAAAAGGAAATAATCCAGGAAATCAGGGCAGTGCGTAGAATTAATAGATGATATCTAGGATTGCATATTCACCTCCTGTCACCTTCATTCATCTGCAGACTTAATGTGTAACTAGTTCTCAGGTCACTCTGAGAACTCAAGGTGAGAGGGGCCCAACAGCAATGATATCTCAATTGTACATCTGATGGGACATCAAATTTTTTTCTCCAATTTCTCTTCCCTCCACAATTAATCAAGTTGCCAATCATAAACCACAATTGGTTCGTCGAGTTGCTTTAGTAGATCATACTCTGGAAGGGTCCCAGTGACATCTCTTCTCAAACATACACCAATGTTGAACTGGAATTTGTGAAACTGCATTACTAAAACTTAATTCACATATACCCTGTAAATGAACAACAAAAACACCTGTGGGTGTTCAATCAAACTGAGACTATCTGTCTATGTTAGGGCTGTTGTAAAGCCAAAACAGAAACAAGGCAAATGTCAAGCTGCTAGAGTAGACTCTGTCTTCACACAGTGGACTACTGTACAGTGCTGGATGGAGGAAGGGTGGCTGTAGTGTAACAACAGACCTAGATCTCAGAAGCCTAACAAGGAGGAAAAAGAGACCAATGCCAAACAGCGCACAACCTGTGATCCTATCCAGAAAGAGCGAAACGGGCAATATTACATTTTTGTATTGGAAGTCAGACAGTTGCCATCCTCAAAGAGAAACTGAGACTAGAAAGGGGCTTCTAAAATGTTGCTAATAGTCTATCTCTTAATCACAGTATTGGTTGGATGTATGCTGTTTTGAGAAAATTAATTGACTTCATTTTCTGCATGTGTAATATAATTCAATAAGAGTTGTTAAAGCCCCAAAAGGCTTGAGATTTTAAATAGCTAATTTTGGGAGAGATTAAAATGGACTGTATAAAATGTCACATGTGGGCGAGAAAAGTTTTGAGCTAGGATCTACATTCCAATCAATATGGACTAAAATGTCTGTTCCAAGATCCATGTGGGCTACAGAGCTCATGAGATTTCATGCCTCCACACACAACGCCCTTACCCTTTTCTGTAACTGAATCTCTCTGGTCTGCTTCTGAGCATCATGGTCCACTTCTGCTAAGAGGGTATTGTCACCTCTGAAGGACGTACCCTGGACTGTGACCTCCATCCAAGGTCCCTTCCAGTCACTTTCCAAGCAGTACCCTCTGAAGCATCCTGTGACCACACAGTCACTTTTGACTTTCTCTCAAATATTCAGTGAGCGCTCTCTTCGACATCTCCTGTTTACCTAACTCACATTCTTTTGTGCCAATTAAAAGTGGAGAACCAGAGTTGAGCGACATATTGCTTTTCATTCTCCTAGCTATTCACTCAGTCTAGAGAGCAGAGAAAGCTCACTTCTGTCTTCACCTTTCTGCTCTGTTTGCTGAATTTACTGTGCAAAATTGACAGACTTGGGGCCCGAAATGGCCAAATTACAGCCGCTGCACATGGCCAGCCCTTTCCTTTCATTGTGGTAAACGATCATCAGAAGCCTTCAGTACAATGCTCATTGAGAGTAATGCACTGATAACTTTATATATAACTAACTTGCCCAGATTTATAAATAGCAAGTGAGTGATAGCACCCAAGGCCCAATATTAAAAATAATCTCAGTGCATCATCAGAGAAGCCAACCTAACTCGGATAAGAGAAAAGAAAGAATGAGCATGTCATTTTACAAGTACCTGAGAAGGTCAAGGGCAGGATGCTGAGTCCTTTCCCATTGAAGATCTTGGCCAATCCTTACGCAGCCTTGTCACATGGATAGTATAATGATCATCTTCCTTCTGCAGATGAGAAAATAGAGGGCCAGAGTTAATAGATTATCCTAAGACAGACATTATGCGCAAAGCAGACTAAGATCTCAGGGCACCGGCCCATGTTTTTATAGAAAGAATATCTACTTAGAGCTTGCTGAATCACATGAGGACCGTCGCGTACTTTTCTGGTAGCTGATTGGATTTTACAACCTTTTGAAAACGCAAACTTTGTTCTGACCTCTGTGACTGGACCTGACCCAGAGATAGAAGTCTGGAGATTATTCAAAGCCCCCTGAATTATGAGACTAGAGGAAAAGATATGACAGAAAACAGGCTGAAGACTGGATCTCAACTAAAGTCTGAGTTCCATCACTTAGTATCCAATATTTAATGGAGAGTTTACAGAGGGACGGTCAAAGCTGCAGATGTTCCATATGTGTTCACTTAGCTCAGTGGTTTGCAACCTTTGTAATACTGCAATCCTTTAATACAGTGCCTTTCATTGTGGTGACCCACACTCTTAAAATTATTTTTGTTGCTACTTCAAAACTGTAATTTTGCTACTGTTATGAGTCATAATGTAGATATCTGATATGCACGATCTGCTATGTGAGCCCTGTGAAAGGGTGGTTTGACCCTCCCGAGAGGGTCATGCCCCACAGGTTGAGAACTGTTGATTTAGTCAATCCTCATAGCAGCTCTGACAGAAAGTTCCTGGTCTGTGTCCATTTTCCAGATAAGAAAACTGAGGTCCAGAGTATTCACATAACTGTCTCAAATTTGCACATAGCAAGAAACTAATAGAGCAAAGACCACTGAGTTAGAAAACCTGTGGTTTTAAACATTATGATAATAATTACTAAAATGAGTAATAAACTGCCTGATGCATTTATACATCAAAGGCAATTGTATTAATTATTTTCCATTTCCCCTTTCAAGGTAACTCTTCCTAACAGGTTGCTGTAATAGAACCGAAGCAACTAAACTACAAGATGCTACGACGGTGATGCCATTCACTCTTCTGTTAATCACTATGCAACCTAAAACCCGAACAGGGAGCCTTGCACTGGTAAAAGAAAACACTAGATATGATGGCTATTTCCAGCCCAGGGAGCTAACGTTCAGAATTGAGAACCAAAATGCAAACAGGTAAAGTGCAAAGCAGGGGATAGTTGCTGTGTATCCAAGAGGGCAGGTGACTGGAGTTAAGATCCTCACTCAAAATCATGGGTACAAGAAAATTTGCAGCCCTGTGTCTGCCCTGGGTACACAGGAGGGGCAGGGGGTTGAGGTCTAGTCATTGTATGAGAAAGAATATTTCTTTGACTTGGACTTGCTCTAGGAGAAAGGGAGGTTCATGAAGGGCTATAGTGACAAAAAGAAAAATTCAAAGATCTTTTAATCATATAAACCTTACACAAACTTCTTTATAATTGGGCTGGGGATGCAGTTTGGTTGGAAGAGTGCTGGGCTAGCATCCATGAAGTCCTGGATTTGATCCCCAGCAGCACATAAACAGAGCATGGCAGTAATTCCAGCAGGTAGTAAAGGCGGGAGGATCTAGAGTTCAAGCTCATCCTTGACTGCATGATACCTCAAAATAAATAAATAAATAAAATTCTTTATTTTCCAAAAGAACAAAATCGGTATTGATGCTCTTATATTAGTCTGTGATTAACTACTGATGAGAAAGGTAAAAGTTTGAAAAAGCCATTCTGAGAATCTCTAAACAAGCTATACTTTCGCCCCAAAACATTCTTTCTGCTCCCCACTTCATTGCACTCCACCACAGCTTTCACCGGTGCCTCAGACCCACAATCATTAGTCGTCCTTCCAGCCTGCCTGTTTACTGTTCGCTCTATTCACTAGACTGTAAGCTTCAACGAAGCAGGCACCAAGTCGGTTGAGCTCGTCACAGGATCTTCAGAGCGTTGAGTACCACTTGAATGATTATCCTCTATGAATAGATTTCTATAATCAGGGCATTAAAATACCTAAGTGATATTTTCCCCACCAGACTGGACAAAATTTTCCTGAAGCTGAAATATATGCACCACCCGTTATCTGGCAGTCTTAGGTAACAATACCAGGAAAACCACAAGACATGGGATAAATAGAGTATCATCATGTTATTTATACTCAAATATGCCCCCAAGGACTCCAGGACAGAAAGGGGACTATATAAATAACAAAAAGGTTCTACTGGTAAACAAATAGCTCGAATTCTTCTGCCTTTCACACAGCAAACACTATGCTGCTTCTTTTCCCTGCTGATGAAAAAAAATTACCAAAGCAATCAGTCCTGTTTTTCCCCATCTATATTTTGACTGCAGATGACTATAATTTACTAAGTCAACTACCTGGCTGGCATCACTGGAGTGCTCAGTGTCCACAGTGCCTGTCGCTACTCAGAGTGCAAGGGCATCTTTGGCATTTTAAATGCACAAAAAAAAATAATCAATATAGAAAAAGAACAAATTAATCCAAAGTTATGTAATCTTACACCCTGAAAGAACCTGATTAAATCGCCTTCCTTTGCAGCTGCTTCTAATCTAGGATAGTGCAGGTGTTTACAATCTTTTGCGAGCTGACCTCCAGTGACCCAAGGATAAAATTTTAATTGCTTATCAAATGTAATTTTATGGACGAGATAAAGATACTGTGAATGCGTATAAACTCCTCTGAAATACAGAGTCTTTCAAAATGGGATTTTAGTTAGCTCGCTTCTCTTTCTTTAGAGTTAATTGATTTTCTTGACATCTTTTTAGCCTGGCAAACTGCCTGCCTAAGTACTTTATCTGACCTTCAGGCTGTTTGCCAGGTATTGATCCTGTACCTACAATGGCTGTGTCGTACCCGCTCCTCCAGCTTTGATAAGGGCTAATGTACTAGTGCCGGCAGACAGGAAGTCAATGGTCACAACATTTTTCTCATCCTCTTCTTCTATCGTCTTTTCTTCTTATACAATAATTTGGGCTCTCTCAAAATCCAATCTTCAACAAATGAGGTAGATATTTGGACCCAATTTTTCTTCTAGCAACTTCTGGCTTGCACCTTAAGACATCTTCTATAGGCAATAATAAATTTAAATGTTCACAAATAATTGACTCCATAGCGATGCTAATAGTAGTATTACTTGATAATTTGTTCAAAGAAAAGTAAAGCTGTGACTTAGGGAGATGCTTGGGATCCAGAGATTCAGAGAAAATACATGGCGTAGAGGGAAGAGATAAGGTTAGCAAAGAATATTGAAATCATGCCCTCAGTGAAATAGTCAAGGGAAATAAGATTTTCTTGTCCTCTTGCAACTTAGTTTACAGATAGATGGCTTACACACAAGGAGGGGTGGAAATAGTGTCCAACCCAAAGATAATAGTTCATACCTAACAAAGAATGCACTAATACACATAGTTCTTCTGTGTATAACACTATAACCCATCTACAGGCTTATAATATATTTGGGAGCAGAAACTTGCTAAGCCTCCAAGGTTAGCATGAGTAGATTTAATGTAGCCATGCTAAGTTTTAGACTTTTGATTATGTAACAAGAAATTTTAGGAGTTTCATTGAACCCAAATGGCTCTGGACTAGCAAAGATGTTCTATGAAAGGACACTCAATTCTCCAGCCCAAGATGGAGTCTTTTATTTGATGGAGAATCTAAAAGCAGAACCACTGAGATAAGGCCCTCGGGGAACATAGAGACTTGTTGGGGTGTGTTTGGTGTATTGAGGTTAATATGAGGTAAGACTGACCAATGCTCTGCATAGAGTGGCTACTGGTAGGTTTGCCGTGTAACATCCAACTCTTAAAACCAAAACAGCAACTGAAAACAGAAGAAACTAAAGACTAAATCTGAAACAAAATAATACTAAGGAATGTCTAGTTTTTATTCTTTTCTAAAGAACACACACACATATGGAGAGAGAGAAGAGAGAGAGAGAGAGAGAGAGAGAGAGAGAGCTTCCAACCCAAATGCATTATCATACTTTACCAAAGAATGTACACTCAGCACACATGTCTATTTATGGTGCTATGTGCCATCTACACAATCCCTACATCCAAGGAACTGGTTAGAACCTTAGTAGATGGGGTTCCCTGGGTAGGATGGGGCAAAGAATCTCTCAAGGTTGGCGCATGCAGGGGAGATCCAGAGGGTTCTACAGAGCTGATTATTGGAGGAAGACATGGTGAGGATTTCTCAAGGCTAATGTATAGAGATTCATGGAAGCAGTGCTGAGGAAGAAAACGCTTGGGTTATCTTAATATCAAACTCATTCTGATCAAGATCCGTGAAACTTTAGGATAACTAAGTTAGGGAATGTCAGTTAGGTTCAGACAGGGTAATGATATTGAAGCTAGGCTTGTTCCTAAAACTATGGGAGCTGGGTACACAGTGTTTGGTCAGTAAGAGGGAGAAGGGGGGCATCGAAGAAAAGGAGCAATAATAATGAAAATACTTAAAATACACAGGGGAAAATCCCAATGAGGACAGCACAAACATTTGGGCCAGGAAACTTCAGCAAATACTGACTTCTTGGGACTTGCATTTTGAACAACGAAGGCCTGAGTGAGAGGTGATGACTGTTCCAGATTGTTCTATGAATTATCAGTGAGATCAGTCCTGCTCTTATGATTACAATGGTGTTTGTCTCTCACAACTGGAGGCAAAGAATCTTATAAACAAAGGAGAGGAAATCAACTGAAATGTGGTCTTTAAAAAAAAAGAAAAAGTTTTTGGCAAATATGCCTAGGGGAACACAGATTACAACATAGTAAAATTTCTGAAAATAGCTTTGCCAGGAGGGCCAAGAAGAGTGGCCAATAGCCCCGGAATGTGTATGTGGCAAAGGACCAAAGGCTTTTGCAGCCAGCCATGCAGATCCTGTGGATGGACACAGGCTTCATTTACCTTTTCCACAGAGGGTGGGATCAGATGTGTTATAATATTTGTAGGTTTGCAAACTTTGAAAACAAGAAAGAAACAAAGAAAGTAGTTCAGTCAATCTTGATAAGCAAAATGGATAG